TATTGCTTTATTTATTCAATATTTCTATTTTCCCAGGTATTAAATTTTTTTTATTTGGATAAAAATATTGCAGTATAATAAATTTTGTAAGAAATAGAGCAGCAATTTTTTAATGCCCCTTACCCATCCTCACCCCTCTGCCTCCACCCCTTCTGCCCTTGGACCCTCATACACTGTTATCCTTCTATTTTTTACAATAATGGTCTTATGTAGTATTTGTCCTTATGAGACTGAGTTAGTTTACTCAGCATACTGCTCTCCAGTCTCTCCCAAAATAATGTTGTATTTTTCAGAATTGTTCATCTTGAGTGCTGTGCAGTAGTCCATTTTGTGAATCAACCACAATTTCTGAATCCATGCAGTTGTGGTTGGACATTTGGGCTGTTTACATATTCTTGTAACAGTGAATACTGCTGTTATAAACATGGGTGTGCAAATCTCCATTTGTGTCTTAGCTGTAATTTCCTTGGAGTCTATTCCTAGTAGTTGAATAGTTGAGTCATACTGCATTTCTATGTTCAGCATTTTGAGGAAACACCAAACTACCTTCCAGAGTGGTTGTACCATTTTACAGTTCCACCAGCAGTCAATGAGAATTCCCAACTGTCCACATCCTCTCCAGCATTTATTGCTTGCTGCACTACTAAACTTTGTCACTACTACTAGGGTGATAGGGTATCTCATTGTAGTTTTGATTTACATTTCTCTTATTGCCAGTGATTTTGAGCATTTCTCCATGTGTCTGTTGACCATCTGAATATCTTCCTCTGTGAAAATCTTTCCGTGTATTTTGCCCATTTTGTAATTGGGTTATCAGTCTTTTTCTTCTGGAGGCCCTGTAGTATTCTGTAAACTTTTGTTATGACACTTTTGTTTGAGATGGTATTGCCAATTTACACCCCACCCCCACCCCCAGTCGGTTTTCTTTTCTTTTCACCTTACTGGATAAAGGGTTTCATGCACACAGGAATTTAATCTTTAGAAGGTCTCATCAAATTTATCCTCTCCAGAATGTGTATTTCTGGTTTTATTTGTCATCCTCTTTATACCATAGGCTAGGCCTTCTAACCTTGGTTCTAGTTTGTCTCTGCTGTATGGTTTTGAGCATTACCCCCAGGTTTCTGATCTACCTTGAGTTGATTTTTGAGTATGGGGTGAGATGTGGATCCTGTTTTAACATTCTGCAGATAGCAGTCCAGTTTTGCCAGAACCATTTGTTGAAGAGGTTCTCATTTCCTCATATGATAGGTTTTATTTTCTTGACGAGTTTCAGTTGACCATAGATAGCTGGACCCATTTCTGGATTCTCAGTTCTGTTCCATTGGTCTGTGTGCCTGTCAGTGTACCAGTACCATACTGTTTTGGTCATTAGAACTCTGGAGAAGGTTTTGATTTGCCTCCCACTTCATTTTTGTTTTTCAGAAATGCTTTGCTTATTCGGGGTCTCTGGCTTCTCCAAATAAACTTGACAGCTTCCCTTTCAATCTCTTTGAAAAATGAATTTGGTATCTGTTTTGGGAATGCGTTGAACATGTAGATTGCATTTGATAGGATTGTCATTTTTACTTTATTGAGTCTTCCTATCCATGAACAAGGAACATTTTTTATTTAGGAACATTTTCTCTCACAGAGTGTATTTTAGTTTTCTTTTTATAGGTCTTTTGTGTTTCTAGTTAGACTCATTCCGAAGTATCTCAGTTTGTGGTTGGCTATTAGAAATGGTTTTGCTTTTTTGGTTTCCTTCTCTGAGTTTGTTTTGTTACTGGATAGGAATCCCACTGACTTTTTTATATTGATCTTGTATCCTGCCACCCTACCAAAGCTTTCCACTAGCTCTAACAGTTTTTTTGTTGAGTCCTGGGAGTTTTTTGCGTACATTATCATATCCTCTCCATATAGCAACAGTTTTAACTCTTTGCCAATTTGGATGCCTTTTATTTCCTTTTCTATCTTATTGCCCTAGCTAGTACTTACAATATTGAATAGAAGTTGTGATGGTGAGCATCCTTGTCTGGTCCCTTTTCACCAGGAAAATACTTATACTCTTTTTCCGTTGAGAATGATATTGGCTCTTGTATATATACTTTTCACTATGTTGAGGAAATTCCCTTCTATTCCAGTTTTGCTGAGTATCTTAATCAGTTAAGGGTGTTGCATTTTATCAAATGCCTTTTCTGCATCAATTGCTAAGGTCATATGGTTCTTGTTATTTGCTTTGCCAGGGTGGTGAATTATGTTGATTGTCTTTCTTATGTTGATCCCTGGTTGCATACCTGTTATGAATCCCACTTGGTCATGAATTTCTGTTCTTTCCAGTACTGTGCTGGCTGCACTCTCTTTGTCTTGTGATCATTTTTTAAGTTCTTGTACCTCTTTATCGGTAGTTTCAATTCTTTCATCTTTTGCATATTCTTCCATATTTGTGCAAGTTCCTCCTCACTGATATATTGCTTCTGGCTCCCTGTCTCTGGGGTATTCAGTTTCTTTATTAAAAATTTATTATTTATTTCATTGAAAATTTACAGAGACTTTGGACTTCCATTCATTCATTGTTGCACTTTTATTCCCTCCCAGCCCTCCTCCCTAGTACACTACCCTCTTGGAAAAGTAAAAGAAAAATTCTTTCATTGTTTTACAATTCCTCCCCCCAGTTCCACTCCACTATACAGCCTTTGCTCTGGACTCCTGTCATGACAAAAATACCTAATCACATATCCCTTTTAAATAGTTTTCTCCCTCATCTGTTTCAATACAGTATACATAATTGAACCCATCTTTCTCAGTTCTCCCCAACCCCAATGTCAGTCCTGTTTTACAACAGTAGCACCATGCAGTACTTGTCCTTTTGTAACTGAGATACTTCACTCAGCATAATGTCCTCCAGGGTCACCCATTTTGAATAATATTGTATGAATTCCTTGTTTTTCAAAACAGCATAGTATTTCATTGTGTGAATATACCACAGCTTCTCTATCCATTCATTTGTTGATGGGCACTTAGGTTACTCCTTGCTGTTGTGAACAAAGCCATGATAAACATGGGTGTGCATATATCTGCTTGGATGTCAGTTATGGTCTCTTTGGGGTATATTCCCAGTAGTGGAATTGCTGGGTCAAATGGTATCTCTATTTCCAACTTTTTGAGAAAGCGCTATACTGCCTTCCACAGTGGTTGTACCATTTTACACTCCCACCAACAGTGAATAAGGGTTCCACAACCTTGGCAGCATTTGTTGCTTGCTGTTCTGACTGGGGTGAGATGATATCTCATAGTTGTTTTGATTTGCATCTCTCTTAGAGCTAGGGATTTTGAACATTTCTTCATGTGCTTGTTAGCCATCTGAATGTCGTCTTTGGTGAAGTGTCTGTTCATATCCTGTGCCCATTTTTCAATTGGCTTATTTACCTTTATCTTGCTGTGGTTCTCAAGTATTTTATAAATTCTGGATATAAGTCCCTTATGTGATATGTCATTACCAAATACTTTTTCCTAGTCAATCGCTTCCCTTTTTACCTGTTGGAGAAGTTTTTGGATCTATTTTATCTTCTGGTTTTAGGAGTATTCATTTTCTTAATGGCTTCCATTGTTTCTTCCATCATTTGCACCTCCTTCTATAGCTGTTCAAATAACTCCACATCAATACATGTCTTCTGGTTCTCCACCTTTAGGAAATTCCCTTTATTTCTGCCTTCTGTTATTTCTCTCATCATTTATACCTTCTTCCACAGATACTTGAATGCCTCCACATCAAAATATATCATGTCTTCCTGACCCTCTAGTATTCATTGGGTCTGAAATATTCTCTGCTTTTTTTAGAGAAAGCTTGTTTTTTCATAGTGTTTGAAACTGCCTGCTGCTTTCTTGACACCATGTGAAGTTTTTCTTGGTAAATGTTAAGCTGTTTCTATTGTGGCTGTATAAGTTGTTGATAATTTTTTTTATAATGTTATTGATTTGTTGTCAGTTCCAAATGTTCAATCTGTGGGTTGAGCCACTCACTCTACTGCAAGTCCTTTCTGGGAAAATTTGCCTTTCATAAAGTTTTTTAGAGTTCTCTCTGGTCTGCAATGCAGCCCTGCAAGAATCTCGCCTTATTGTAGTCCTCTCTCCCAAACTCTGTTGTCTTCAGTTCTTTGTGGGGTGTCTTAGTGGTATGAGTTTCAGTCCAGGGGGTTTCAAGTCAGCTATATTTCTTGCAGTCTTTTCTTTTGAAGCCCAGTGTCATCCTTTGTCTCTAAAGTGGCATGAGATTAGGGGCCAATTTAAGCAATTTGTGTGCATGGGAGTTTTAGGTCAGCTCTCTTTCTCAGAGCTCAGTGTATTCATTGAGAAAGTTCTTCCCCTGCTTGTAGCTCTCTGTCAAAACTCTCTTGTCCTGTTTGACCCCTGTGGTGGCCCTGAGGTATTGAAGGCAGGGATCCCCAAATGGAAGGACCTTTCCCCAGGGGAGTTTTAGTCTTTTCTGTCCCGTGCACCTGAAAATGCTGGCTCTGGGGAAGGTGTCTCACTTGATGTTGTCTTCTCTTCTGAAGCTTAATGTCTTTGTCTTTGGAGTGGCATGAGGTCAGGGGGGCCAACATAAGCAGTTTGGGTGCAGGAGGGCTTCAGGTCAGCTCTCTTTTTTTACAGTTCAGTGTGCCAACTGAGAAAGCTCAGAATGTCTCTCTTGCTTGTAGCTGTCCACTCTCTCGTTTTGTTTCAATGCACCTGGGATATCCCCGCAGCAGTGGAGGCAGGTTCCCCCCAAGTTGTATTTTTAAGTCCCCAACTTTGCTGGTTCACAGCAAGTCTGTCATGGAAACCCTTATTCCTAAATTCTAAGACATGTGCCAAGATCTCCCACATTTCTTTTTCTGTGCTAAAAAACAATTATTTTTTAAGTTTTCTCTTTCAAATAGCAAACAATGTGTTTCCAATCCCAGAGCTACACTGTTGTTATTAGATTGATGATTTAACTGGCCAGCCATCTTGCAATGATTTGACAGTTCTTTTTCTTCTAGGGAAAAGTTAACCATTGGATGCCGCCAGCTGGTAGAGATGGAGTATACCATGCAGCAGTGCAATGCATCTGTTTATATGGAGGCCAAAAACAGAGGATGGTGTGATGATACTCTCAACAATAGGATCTGAGTGCTAATTTTAACTTGAAAGAAGAATTTGTCTTCATGAATACCACAATAGCCAAACCCAAGAGAGTTATAAGAAATTTCTCTTAGGTGCAAAAATGTGATTGCCTTGTTGAGGTTTTGTTCTGTTTTGTTTTTTTAAGCTTATGTATCTGTTATGGGATAAATTGTGGAGTTGGCTTTTCTGGTGATGACAATACCTTCCTACCTCCTCTGCTAGTACCAAGCAAGTATCCTCTAAGGAAAGGACTGCCATCTTTTCTATTATCTTGGGGCAGAAGCCACTGTGGTATCTGAAGAAGACCTTAAATGTGGGCACACGACCATGAGTACTCCCAGACCATAAGAACTCAGCTTGTCACATCCAGCATCTGCAATCTGGGCTATTTTTGTGGTCAAATTGTCTTTCATTTTAACTTGGTAAAAATAACACTTCCCCTACCAACATAATGGAAATAATTTTTATTTCTGCTGTCGTATTACAGCCTCTTCTCTCAGAATTTCAATTTTCAGATAATTTCTAATAAGGTGGTATAGAAATTGTCCCCTTTGATGTGAAGCAGCATGAATTTAGGGGATTTGGTGATAATGTCTGATGTTTAGTTGTTGTTTCTGGCCAAAACCAAGTAATAGTAAATTAGAAGTCCTTGTTTCCTAGAGCGTATTATGCTTTTATTAATACATTAAATTGGTACTCTATTATAAATATTTGTTTATATATATTTTTAAAAACCAATAAATAACTTATTTTGTCAGGTTTTGCTTTTCATTTTACTTTCATATGTGTTTATAAAATGAACAAGGTATGAATGTAACTCTTTCCAATAAAAGAATTTATCAGGACGTTCATTGTAGTTTGTGCAGGACCTGCTAAGCTTTATGTTTACAAAATTAAGAAACTACACTGCCTCAGGGATGGGGCATAAAGTGCATTGAGGGACTTGAGCCTCCTGAGCCAAAGACCTAGTTAGAAGAGAGCCTCTCTCTTTTTCCCCACTTTACTTTTTTGAGGAGCCAAAAGAAGCATGCCCTAATCCAATAGCCACTCTTTGAAGGATGGGGCAGTCTTCCCTCCTGCAGTTTGCAACCTTGAAAACACAAATGGAAGATCAGCTGTGAATTGATTCTGACACAAGAGCAATCAGACAGAACACCGTCAAAGAAACTTGTCACATTCCTGTCCCTGAGCTACTTGTAGTTGGATTTTTCTTTTGTTATGTTCCACTTGTACTTCTTTACACACATACCACTTATCTTTTCAGCATGTTATGCTTTTCATTAAATTTTTTTTTGTTCCATCACATGCATACTTTCATACTTTTCCTCATGAGAATTTATAATTTCCATTAACCCATAAAATTTTCATTTTTTGAGATGTGAGAATATTTTCATCTTTTTAGTAATTTTTCTTGCTGACTTAAACATTTTAAATTTGTTCATTTGAAATTTTTTCACCTTTATGCTTTTTTATTTCATTCTGCTTTAAGTTTAATCTTTTTTCCTCTCACCTTTATTTTTTAGCTCTTCTCACTAGATTGGAATTGTTTGCTTAAGGATAGTGGCATATGATTAAGAAATAAGAACTCCGTGCTGCCTGAAGACATTGGTAAAAAATAAGGCTCCAGGAATCGATGGAAACGTCAGTTGAGATGTTTTCAGACAGATGCAGCCGTGAATGTGCTCACTAGTCTACTTCAAGAAATTTGGAAGAGTTAACCTCATTAGCCAACTGAAAAAGGTCCATATTTGTTCCTGTTTTATTTTTTTAAGTGATTGAACATAACAAAAACTACTGAATAAAAATATCATTACTATCACATGCAAGTAAAGTCTTGCTGAAGCTTGTTCAAACAATGGCTGTAATAATATAATATATTGACAGTACCTACGAGGAACTGACAGAAATTCAGGCCGGATTCAGAAGAGGTTATGGAATGAGGGGTTCTGATGTCATGGTTAAAGGCAGAGAATGTTTACTTGTGTCCTATGGACTTTGCAAAGGTACCTGACTGTGTGGATAACAACTTAAGGGTAACACTGAAATAATGGGAATCCCAGAGCATTCATAGAACAAAAAGCAGTTCTTCCAATAAAACAAGAGAACACTGACTGGATGGTTTAAAATCAAGAAAGGTAAGTATCAGGGTTAGATCTTTCCTCCATATCTATTTAATCTGGATGGTGAGCACATCAGGATCAGAGAATGAGCATCAAAAACCTGCATTATGCAGATTACACAACTTTGCCTGCAAAAGTAAAGACAACTTGAAGCACTTGCAGACTGATGACTACAGCCTTCAATATGGATTCCATCTCAACATCAAGAGAAACCAGAATCCTCACCACTGAAGCCATCAGCAACATCATGATAGCTGCCAACAATTTCATTTTACCTGGATTCATAACAACCATGGATAAAAAACCAAACTGATATCAAGAGCCGTGTTGTATTGAGAAAATCTGTCACCGACCTCCTTAAAGTGCTAAACAACGTCAGTTTTAAAGACTAAGGTGCACCTTATACAAGCCATGGTGTACTTTGATGCATATGATAGTTGAATGATGAATAAGGAGACTGAAGCATTGATCTTTGAATGGTGGTGTTGGAAAAGACTGCTGATATCCCATGGACTGCCAAAATAATAAATCTGTTAGAGGAAGTCCAATCAGATTTAGAGGCAAGGATGGTGAAACGTCATCCCACATTCTTTGGGCATGTTTTCAGGAGGGCCCAGTCCTTGAAAAAGACATCATGCTGGGGAAAGTGGAAGGCCAGAGAGGAAGACCCTCAATGAGATCAATTTACAGTGACTACCAGTGGGCCTGCTCATCACAGAGATAAGGATTGCAGAGGGTAAGACAAGATTCCAGTCTGTTGTTCATAGGGTCACTTGGAGTTGTAGTCGACTTGGCAGCACCTAGCAACATAAAGCTCACAATGCAGAAATTTTGCTTTGAGGAAGAATTAGCAAATGCTTATTAGGTGAGGAAACTTAGGTTTTAAAATTTTCATATACCACACATGTGTGTGTATTATTGTTACATGCTGTCAAGTTGTGATAGACATAACTGATCATCTAGCAGGTTTTCTGATGCTGTCAATCACACAGGAGATAGCTCTCATGGAGCAATTGGTGGATGTGAACCATGTACCTTTAGGTCGGCAGCACAGCTCCTTACTAAGCCACCAGTTATATATACACGATTTAGACTCTGAAAACTCACTGGAGGGTCAGCTGTGAGATGGTTCTGACTTGCTGGTACATGACACTCTAATGTAAACACTGATGACCTAAGTGTATGGAGTTGTGCTGCCAACCCAAAGACAGGCAGTTTGAATTTATAGGCTGAAGGAGAAAGATGGACAGTCTCTTCCCATGTGATTAGCCTCTGAAATCCAGCTGGAAGGTCAACTATGATTCAGTTCTGACTCAACAGCTCACAACACACACACACTTATTAGGTGGGTGCCATTGACTCTGAACGACTAACAGTAATTGAGGTTATTTCCCTCTTCATGATCTCCACCATGCTCAAGCCTATTGCTGTGTTGCAATTGCTGTCAAATCCCTCTTGTTGAGGGCCTTCCTCATTTTCAGTGACCTACTTTTCTCACGTTTCTTTAATGACTGCTGTCCTTTGAGAACATGCTGAAATTGAAAAGGTGCACTATCCTTGTCTCTAAGGATGCATTTCCTGCAAGGCATATTTAATACCTTGTTGGCCATGGAACTCTTAGCCAACACAATTAAAAGGCAGTAATTATTCATATATAAATGTAAAACCATTGCCATCGAGTCAGAGTCGAAATGTCCATGTGGTTTCCAAGAGCGTGAATCGCCATGGAAGCCACTGCCCTCTCTCCTACAGATTGGATTCAAACTATTTTTGTTACCAACTGAATGCCTTTACTATGACAACATCAGGCCTTTTTATTTACTAAACTGCTTATTTTGGGCTTTTTTATCATAAGCATGTCATGAACGAGAAAGGACTTATGTATGGAAAGATTCAGCATAGGTACAACTCATCATTACACCCAGTCTTCATCTTGAGAAGCACCCAAGATTATTCCAACAGTTTCATAACTACTTGTTTGCTGTAAGGCTGAAACCAACCCATAGCTGACCCTCCAGCCGGTTTTCCCTGAGCGCTCATCTTTCTGCTGCAGGGCAGCTGGTGAACTCTAATTGCATCCCTTTGGGATTGCACTGCAACTTCTGACGACTAGGCCATCAGAGCTCTATTAACAGGGGAAAAGTAGTTATACCCGACGTTTTGCACTGAAGAACCAGGATTCCAAGATTATCCTAACAAAAATTTGGAACCATTTTACATTAATCTTATTGTACAAAAATAATCCATCTGTCTCCCTGAAGGGCCAGAAATTGCTTTGAGTCTGCCAGAACACCAGCATCCAGAGGACAAATCTGAAGGTGGGGTCAGCATCCAGTGCCAACCTGTATTAAAGTGTTTCTATTTCTTTCTGCAGCTACTGACCTGCAATCAGAATTCTTTGCAGCCTACCATGATGGGTAAAGGTTTTCACCTCTTTCCTATGGAGGGAGTAAGCCTTGTGTAAAACCAATGTACCCGCTCCTCTCAGGAAGTGATTATCACTCATAACCCTCTGATTTATGGACAGGATTGAGAGTTGGCTTTTTTGGCAAGAAAATTCACACCAGGCTGGCTGACAAATTAACTTCCAGGATATCACTTAATAAAATACTTAACTCTTGCTTACCAGTACCTTTAAGGCTGTGTGGGTTTTGTGGGGTGAATGGGAAGTTGTCCGTGCTGCTAATTTGAAGGCATGCAGTGTGAATCTACCAGCTGCTCCACTAGGGAAAAAGATGGGCAATCTCTCATGTGATTTTTTAGTCTCTGACAACACACTGGAGGGTCAGCTATGAGTGTTCCAACTTGCTAGTACCTAATAAGGTCAAAATGACAGTGCCTTTTAAACTTTTATGTGAAGTACCCCACACAAGGGACTCTAATCTAGGGCCCCCCCAAAAGATGAAGAATTTACTTTCCTAGAGGTTGTAGATCATCCATTTTTCCAGACCTAGATTTTATTTTTTCTGGCTGTTAGTAAAAACACAGATTA